GTCTGAAATGGTGCATGAGTTGGATGAATCTCAAATTCTTTTTGGCTTCCAGGTCCTGACGAAGGCGGTAAAGCCGAAAAATAAAGAGCTGTACCATCTTGGCTGAGGCTATACCACACACCTTCATACGGAAACTCACACGATGCCTAGATTCATTGAAAGTCGTTCATGGTCAATTCCACAGAAAATGGTTAACCAGATCCAACGCTTTGTGCGGCATTAAGTCTGAAAGTGCTCGCTTCAGGAGTAGGAGGCCATTTTTCAGGGTTGGTTTTTTTTCGAAAGTTCAAGACGTACCCAAAGTCATTTATCTTATGGCAAGCTTAACACCTTTCTATTGTTCGGAACTGAGGTCAGAATTGTTGAGTGGCTGCAACGCTCGATAACGCCCATTACGTGACAGGTTTCATGGTATTTGTGAATAATCTCGTGTTCTTAATGGAAACCTTACAACAATGAATATTTACATTGTTTCCAAGCTCATCGATAAGAACGAATACAGCTGCATTCGAATGTGCAGATATATGTGAAAAATAGTGAAAACTACCTAGTTATAAAATGCAAACTCGCGTTTTATCCGTGGTTCTCTGAACACTTAGGATGGGTAACGCATATTACGGGAATTGTGTGTATATCCCTTTTTACTTATGCCTTATTCAACCTTAGTGGAACTTCCAGAAGGATCTGTATGTATTGTCAGACACGACTGCCGTACTGTACACTTGAAAAAAAAACTTGATGTGCAGTGTCTGACTTGAATTCCACGAGTCATTTCGGCAGCCAATTCGATATCGCCAATAAATTCACTTCATTTGTATGGTAGAATAAAACACATGAAGTAGAAGACGAAAATCGTTATTGAAGAGAAAGTTCGATGGACTCCGCATAATCCGCACAAACGCACTGAGTAAATCATGGACGTGTATTGTTCAAGAGAAAATTCTGGAGGAATGAAGCCAAGCAGTTCCGACCAGCAATACCCGCATTATGCATTGTGCAGGTAAGGGTTTTCAGAATAAGTTTTCATTGGCTTGATTTTTTTGTCTTCAATAACGTTTCTTGGCGAGGCTGAACGACATCATATGAAAGATGTCTATCTGAGCAGAGTAGCAGTTGGTAGGTTATTCTTCTAGTTAACGAGGAAGTAAAGCGAACGTCGCTGAAATTGTGAAATGTAGTGAGTGTGTCCCTGAGGACCACGGTCATCGGTGGGAGAAACTAAAACGCATCGATGTGGAACCTTCTGGAGTCTCGTTCGTTGAAAAAGGTCTATGCATGTGGAGTAAAGAACGTTACGTCACAAGAGAGTGAATAGGATCTGATTCAGGGAGTTTTCCGATGTCTAGATCAAAGAAGGCCCTTAATGAGATCTTAACCTAGGCTCAATCAGGAACAGGAACCCTCTGGAAGTTAAAAGCACGCATGTGAACTCGAAGAACGCCACCCAATCATACAACATCCCTACCTTTTCTAATTTTTGTGCAGCATAACTCAACTAGAGGAAGGCGTTGAATGGGCAAGTAGGGCATTATCACACAAGCGTAATCCTACTTTATGATCCGCTGAGTGTGTCTGTTGGTGTGTCGGTGTGTGTTTGACCGGGGACTCATATTTCCTGTTCCCGTTTATCTCGAAAGTTCAAGTTTGGTAAGAGAACGGTGGATAGGATAGGAATACAAAGGCGTGGGGTTTGTGCAGAGTAGGCGTTTGAGCGGAAATTCGTGACTTTTGTTTCTGTTGACGAGACCTCGGGATTTAATAAGTGGTGAGGATATGACGAGATCCTAGGTACAGGACAGGAACCGATAATAGTTAATAAAAGAGGATAAGGGGCCTTAGAGAGCCACCTACCGCTCGATATCCTAACCATTCGGTATTTACAATGTAGCGTTGACTGTTCAGTATGTTTCATTCGATAAGACGGGATGCTAGAATAGGGTGACATAAGTGAGTAGTGAATGCAGTGATAGGGACCCATTAGCGGCACTACGATAAGCAGATGAGAATTTCGTTTATTTCTTGCTAATGGATTACGACCGCTACCCACTAAGGTTTGTGACCTGAGGAAGGTTCCTCATTGTTCGATACCTTTTGCGACAAAACATATTTGGAACTCTTAACTAATGAAATCTTTGTGAAGAAAAAGGTTTATTGATAACATCGATAATGGTGTTATCATCACAGAAACATTTGTGAGTACCGCCCAAGGCTTTCATTGTCTAAAGTTCTATCTCCATTGGGTAATTATCTTTAAGAAAGAGAGCATAAGATCGAGACTTTCAATGAAAGGCGTAAGAGCCGTCTTACACATATACCATTTGCACTACTCTGTTACTCCTGTGTCTGAATTCGTGTACAAGAAAATATTATTCGTTTCAAAGAAGGAGTGGAGGGTTAGTCGATTACTAAAACTCTGTCAAAGAAGGAGGCAAGCCCAACGTTAGTTGAGCCAACCGACTGGTATGAAGATATGCCGTTTCAATAACTGCCTGAGTCAGCCAAGCGTTTCACCGCTCCGAGGTCGGCTGATTAATACCGGACTTGTCTGGAAGGATAAAAATACTGATTCGTACAATGGCTATACATCGCTAGTCACTGGGGGACATGTACGCACTCGAACTCGAACGTGATGATCGCGTCCTGGAAACGGGTTCGAACAATGCCAAAAGCTCGATCTCTTTGTCCCTTATAACTTACACTTCCTGATTTGTTTTGAGAATTTAATTTTAAAAAACGCTTGATGGTATGGACACATAAATACGTAATTTTCTTTGAATGTTTATTAATACTGATAAATGTTATGGAAAAAAGTTCTGAAGTGTGCGAGTTAACAGTGATGACAGCCATGTAAAAGATGGTGTAATTGATTTTATTCGAAAATCGACTGAAATTCAATCTTTATTAATGTTGTCACGATCCAGATTTGATGAATTCGTTCGAAGATGAGGGATTTATGGTAGAATTCAAAGGTTTATTCTCTTGAAAGCGTCATCTTTTCTTTCGAACCACCCTCCTTTGTTTTACTTTCCCGTGACCCTTCAATTGACGTTTCTTGGGATCCTTCCAACTTGCTTGTCCCTCTTTTTCCACCTGCTCCTTCCACATGCTATAAAAAAACTCCCTTCCGTTAAAGTACGGTGATGAAGGGCCACTGGAATCAGTGTGACTGATTACCTCGTCTTTCTTCCCGCTTCTCATCATAACTGGAATAATTGCGATGATAACAATAAGAGAGATTGCACAAGCTACTAGGATTGCAAGACTGAAAAGGCATTGTCAGTGAAAGGAATGTAAAGCCATTTTTTGAGTCATTCAAATCGCCTATGTATTAACTAATACATTTATGATTGTGAAAATCAATGGGAAAGGCGAAGGATCCTCCGCCCGTCCGATTCCCCATTTCCCCTCTGAAGTTCTTTCCCGTCAAATCATGGGTACAATAGCGGAGTGGTCAGAATTGCTAATATGCAATATACAAATGTTTCATTTTCGCCTTTCACATTAACTGCTCAATGCATTTAGTAAATTTCTTTAAGAGAGAGTTCATGGATACCACTTCGTCCAAACCCGAGTATAACCCATGAACTTACCCATACTGTCCAAGAAGTGAATATATTTGCTGCTGCTCGGCAGCCTACAAATAGATCATTTTTCCTTTCAAAAGTTCCAACTATTAGGATATGTTAGCGCCTCTTACTGTCTCATATCAACAAATAGTGCATAGCGAGCAGGAATTAGTGAGATTTCTTCCTCAACTTTTCAGCATCATTATTTTTCGTATTTTTTTCTTATAATATCCTTTTTGCCGAAAGCGCAAGATAAGTGAAAAGTCCGAGGTGCCCTAAATCCGGTAGTACCTGCTAACTGCAATGGAGCAAAAACGCATCCCACTGTATATAACGAGCCTAGTGTAAATAGTAGTTTTTTGGTGTGTGTGTGCGCTTTGACCAGAAATGCATAATTCTTTTCCCCGTAAACTTAGGGCGGTAAAATTTGTTGTAAGCACAGCAGGGGGCAGGACGAAAACACCTGTATGGTAGGCCACAAAACTGGGGCGTGTGAAGAAGAAGAAGGAGGAGGAAGAAGAAGAAGAAAGATGAAGAAGAATAAGGAAGCAGAAGAAGAAGAAAACAACTTATTCGCAATCATGGTGCTCCTTGTCGCAACAATCAGCACAACAACGTCGCTTGTTTTAGAGATGGCAGGTAATCAAAATTTGCCTATAGACCTGGTGTAATTGTGCGGCATGTATGTCAGCTTACAGTTTACGCTGTGAAGACTACTTCTGGACATGACGCACCGAGTTCGATGGAGGCAGGGCATGTTACTGCGGCGATGCTTCTAGATGTTTTCGATACACCACTGTTTGATTGCATAAACTGTAAATGATGATATCGCGCCGAAAACTATTCCGACCAATCTACTCTACCTTGATGATACAACACTTCCGACAACCTACAGCCGGTGTCTCTACCACAACAATCTGCACTGCCAACGGTAGCGATGGGATCGACTCATCAATCGGAGGGGTGCTTCTTGAAAATTCTACATCCAAAACAGCTGGGTGCCCAGTGAATTTACGTACTGAGTAGACGCCTCGTTGAAATCGATTGGCCTTGAGCTCCCTAAATCGATAAACCCTAGGTGGAACGACATTATTAGTATTGTTTCGGTCATAAAGAGGAGGGATAATCGCAACACCTGAGTTTTTTTTTTGAGAGGCGAGGGTCAATGTAGATGCCGTTATAACCATCTCGGACCTGTCGTATGCTTCCCTGACGAGAGATCAGATTCAGAAATGTCTGATTCTCCATGCATTCTCTGATGGACTTCTCGCGAGAGGCGATCGAAGGTCTCCACCACTTTCGAGGAAGGTAGATGGGGGAGGGGTCTAAGCTTCTCTCGATACTTCTCCATCACTTGCCTACCTATGGAGGTGGCATCAATTGTAGACCTTTTCCACGTTAGACCAAACCGCTCCTGTGTGATTGGAACAATGTACCTCGAGTAACCGCTCGTACATTTTTACTGTATGCGCATCAACCTGACCCCACTGTATATGAAGCGCTCCACCGCATCTCTTTTTTGCTTGGAGAAGGGGGCGATAGTACTGCTTCTACGTGCACTTTTTCCTTTGAAGAACAGTGTCTAGGACTTGCGTAAGCACCACGGTCCGGTGCTCTTTAAGTGCGTTTCATGCCTCCATCGATAACCCATCCGGATCAGTTGCCTTCTCATCGTGCTCATTGCTCGGCAGACCCCTTCTCCTGCTCGAACTGCGATTGCCGGTCCGACCGATGCGATGTGCTTCTATATGAGAGCTGTTCGCATGGTGAAATTCCCCGTCTAAGAACCTATCTGCAAACTCTTTCTATCTGCGCCTAACCTCACCAGGCTTGCTTGGAACTGTACCGTCACTGTCCTTTACAGCCCCCAGTACACCGCTAACTTTAATAACTTTGGTGGATACTCTGGCTAGCCGAGAGAAGAACGTCTCTTACAACTATTTCCGTATTCTTCGCTTCCGCTGTAGCAGCGTTGGCGGGTCTCTCGAAAGTTCTGTAGGCATCTAGGTCTTCTGGAGTCGTATTTTGCCAGCGCCTATGACGTCGTTCTTCTCTGTTCCACTTCATCATTCGATAGGTACAAGTCCCTTAATCCTCCTGATCCGCCTTCCGTCTCTCCCGCGTTATCCTCGCACCCTGTAGGATGAATTACATAGTGCTGGTCCTTGTCTACTTGGGAAACCAGATCCCGCATTCATATCTCGTTCGAGTTTTCCTCTTGGAGCTATCCTTTTTGGCTCGGTGCAGGTTACAACGCCGGAGCCCCCGCTCCGTTCTTATCTTGATTTCTTGTGAAGGTCGATGGCTGTGTCTGCTGAGAGGAGTGTGTGCTGTGTAGCCAGATTTTTGCCGGGAAATACTTTGTCCTTGATAGTTTCGATCTTCTTACAAACACGTAGTCCGAATTTTCCTGACTTCCTTCACTGTTGTAGATCAACTTCTGCGTACACTTCCTTGCGAAGAAATTGCTGTAGACTGCTAGGTCGTGAGCTGTGATCAGGTCAAGAGCTCTCTATCGTTCCTTGTTTCGTACTCCAATTCCTCTACCATCGTGAGCCCTTTTTTGGTCCCTCCGTTCACTGCCGGCGTGTCATTTACGTAACCGTCTCTGATGAGACAGTCCTCTTCAGTCATGGTCTGATGGCATCGCCAAGGCTCAGGTATAAAGTCGTCTTTTTTTGCACGTGATGCAGCCGGCTTGCGTGCGTACACAGATATTGTAGTACAGTACCCTTCCTCTCGATCCTCGATTGATGATTCGATCGTGTCAACAGCGGAGAAATTGTTTACTGGATGAATTTGCTGCTATGGTGAAATGGCCGAACCGTTTCGCATGGTCTTCTACGTTGTGGTAAAAGTTAACGCCCTTATCAGAAGAGAGGGTGTGGGGCAGTACATTTACCAGAATAGCGGCGTAGAGTAAAAAGTTCACAACCAGAAAAAGCGATCAGAAGAACCTAGGCACCGGAGCCTCTTAGGCCCTTCGCTAAGCTCCATTAGCCAGATATACTTGTGTTTCTCCTGCAGATTTGGGATAAACAAAGTATTAGTTCAGCTCGCTCAGAATTTCGCTTTCTTCATTCGCTCTTCGCTTTCTCTTTTCTATAAAGAAAATGAGCAGCTGATTAGAAAAGAAGCTGATATTCCAGCGATAATTCAAGTAATCCACACTGATGAACCATCCGTTTCCTACTTCCTTGCGGTATCTGGGTACCAAATAGCTTCTCTTCTTCAACAGATGCTGTTCAGGTCCGCTTCGGTAGATTGCCAGTCATTAGAGCGATATGGGCCTTGGGTTGGCTCCAATAGCTGAAGTCACATCCTAGTAGGTTAGGTGAATACGACGTATAAGGCCACGGGTTTAATACTTTTTTCTAACTAAAAACTGCAGCACAGTTCATTCGGCCTGTGATTTGGTATGACCATAACCGATAATGATCTTCCGTCAGTTGTGTGCTGCCAAATGTGAACATAATTTCTAAGAGGCTGTTGACACACTTAAAGGCACCGTTCACAAAAAAGTTAGGGTACCCTTTTTCGACGGGAACTGATAGAACTACTCTAGAATAAAGCGAAAACAACGAAAAAAGCGCAAAAAACGATGAACAAAAAGAAATAGAAAGGGTCAAAAAAGAGCTGGAAAGGGGGTTGGATCAGTCTCACATTGAAAAAACGGCGGTTAGGGAGTGTTCGGGCGAGAATGCACGAAGGCGACGCAATGTCTGCAATACAGACAACACACCCAAACAGCTGATCGGATTTCTCCCTGCTATTATTATCTCCCTGAAATACTTACCTCATCCATTCGACGACGGCAGGCAGGGAATACTTGGAAGAGAATAGCGCAGAATAATAGTAGAATAATAGAAATAACAGCTGAATACTAGCTCCTGTACGAGGCGGTCGACCAGCTGACCATTCCTGGCAATTTGCCAATCAGCGTATCGATTTTTCACCAACTTCGCTCCAGTGCGAATGTGGTGAGGGACAATTTGAACTCGTAGTCAGCCTAGCGAGGGGCGGAGGCCTGACGTCCCCCATTGTTCCTGCCCTTATTGTGCCCTATCCAGCCGTTTTCCGACCTCATTCCTGCACAGATGGTATCAGAGGGGGCTTCGAATTCAAACCATGTGCAAATCTCCGAAACCATTTTTTCGTGAACAGTGCCTTTAAGCTGTGACGGTCTTTTTTCTGGAATAGAGTCGCCATAACATCAAGCGCAAAAAGTCTACAGACACGATATCCGGTTGGAACCACGTGAATTTGCATCAGTCATTCCTAGCGCCTTCTCTACTACATCCTTTTGAATCCGGAGCTTGTCACCTTTGTTCTCAGCGTGCGAGCACACCAGCGCTTCGCCCATAACCAATGTTCGCTTTGAAAGTGTTGGACCACTTTGTTTAATATTGTTACTGCAGGCACGATTTCGGTACCAAACTCTTGCTTCTGTAAAGAATTGAGGTACCTATACACACAACTAGCTGACCGTCTTCAAAAATCTAAACACAATTCGGTCTCAGCCCAGATGCAGTTCCCGTGCGGTAGGTCAGCAATGTCGTCTTTGCGTTCCATCCTTTAGCCCTTGGTTTCATCCAACTTTTGAATTTTGGATCCTTTATCATGATTTTGAGCAGCAATTTCCTTTCCAGACGCCCAATCAGAAAATTCCGCGTCTTTTTTGGCTATCCATGTTTCTTTTCATCCTGCTTTATATAGTTCGCTGAGTGTGTCTGTTGGTGTGTCGGTGTGTTTGTGTGTGTCGCTGTGCGTGTTTGACGGGAAATTCATAACTTCCGTCCCCTTAGACCTAGGAAGCTCAAATTTGGTACCAGTACACTGAGCAGCATGGAAACACTTATGGCAGGTGGCAGGACCGGACTCCGCCAACAGGGGGCGGGCGTGCGCTATGGAAATTTTAGGTTGCAAATTCATGACTCCTCTTCCGGTGGCCCCAAAGCGTTCAAAATTGGTAGGAGTACAGGAAGCAGGATAGGAACACTGATGGTGATAACAATCAAGAGGAGTTGGTAAACAGCCTCGAAAGGCGAGAGCCACAGGATTGTTACTCACTTCCTGTTAATGGCAGAGCTTCGGCATTTCGGAAAACTGTTAGAGGCTGATAGAAACTGAAAGGAGGCTAGAGCCAATAAAGTCTACAACGTCTTTCATACTAACAACTGAGCATTTGAGCAGATAGTGCTGGATGTGAAGGGACCGAAGTTAATTAGTTATAAGGAAAGATAATAACAAGCGAGCAAGCGTTGCAATCCCCTTCGTGTCAACAGTGGAACCTTTTCAAAGACGGCAATGTAGGATGTACGTTGTTGTAGGTACTCTGTGACAGGAACCGATAACAAATGATAAGATCTGATAAGGGGCCCTAGAGAGCAAAAGGGTATTTATGGTCAAACACTGACTCCTTAATGCTGTGAATGGTGTAATAGCGACCGATCAAGAGAAAGACTTTTCTCCATAACGAAATGAGAATTCGGTTCATTTCTTGCTATAAACTACGACCGTTACCCAGTAAGCTTTGTGACACAATGAAGTACCACGATTCCTTTTTGTTTTATGACATGTCATTTGTGACTAAACTCATCTGACCGCTAATGATCCCTGACTCCCAATTAATGAAAAATCCGTGGAGAAAATGTTCCATTGATAACGACATCTGTGATAGGAGTTACTATCCATTTCTGGGTACCATTCGAGGCATTGGTTGTCAATCAGTTAAGCCATCAATTGCATTCCATTAATTCAATTAACCATTCTAATTAATATATAATTAATTGTAATACAGAAAAATCGCTCCCAATACGCAGATAATACTGAGGGTGTATAGCTTTCAAACAAAAAGAAGAAACCGAAGTGTTATTTACGCATAGTAAACTTCTCTCAGGATGGAAAAGCGCCCGGCGAAGCCGGGCGACTTCATGAGAAGGAGGGAAGCCCGGCATTAGCCGGGCGGCCCGACTGGTTTTTGGATAATTTCTTCAACAAGTGAGACTATGAAAATGTGCAGTGATTTAACTAAATATACTAGATTTGGAGTGAAACAATGTCGAGAGACCGAATTTCCATTTCTCCTACCATACCTCCAAACGATATGCAACTATGAATGAGATCGCCTGATAAATCCTGAAGATGCTAGTCAAGCGCATTAACGACAATCCCACTTGACATCGATGCTCACCTCTGTTTTGCTGGTGCTAAGCAATTCCTTATCAGTTATAAATCCCTGGTCATCATATGCGGATGTTGTGGATATATTCGAATATTGGTAGTCGGAGGTCAACGCGAACGTAGTAGAAACTTCTGTCGAGGTAGCTGACGTAGCTGTTGTAGAAGTTTCTGTTGACGAGGTCGGCGTAGCTGTTGTAGATGTTTCTGTTGGCGAACTCGACATGGCTGTTGTAGTGGCTTCTTTTGTGGTTGTCGTCTCGGCTGTAGTTGAAGTAGCCTTTGTTGCAGAAATGGAAGTGGATGAGGTCGCCCTGAATAGCGAAACATACTCGTATCATACAGATGTGCTCAAAATGTAGAATTGCATTGAACTTTACATAAATTCTTCTAGTACTTCTGATGCATTGTTTTTCATTTTGCCTGAAAAGAATATTGCGGGAAAAGGAGGGGGCTCGCTCATTACTCCAGGAAAAAAAATGAACCTGCACGCAGATGTTCCAAAAGAATTTCACCTGCTTTTCTTGCGCAGTATTGCAGATCGGATCCCTGGGCATTTAAAGCTGACTGAAACAAGTTTCAGACATTTCTTATATTAAGTATGAGAGTTTGCAGAGGTTTCGCATTTTTTGCTTTTCTGCTAACAAACATTTCTCACTCGTTCCTTAATCACAAGACCTGTTGCTTGCACATTTTTGATAAATCTTTGTTTCTATATTGAACACTCGGCCTTGAATGAGTTCTCGAAATAGCTTCGTTTCCCTTGTATACAACCCAGTCAAATATCAGTTGTGCAAACCAGCTTAGGACGCGACTGAAAACGTATGAACACTATGTTTTGAAACTAATGTGTGACCACTACACGTGTCAA